ATCCAGTGACCAGTATATTTGCCCTCTACCAGACTCTTGTACTCCACTGGTCTGGGTCTGTCACAGTATATATATCAAAAACACCCCTCAAAAGTTCAAACACATTTCAAGCCACTTTGGGAGAGATACGGGCCACTCTCAAGTCAACAGCAAAACTCTCATCGACTTCAGTGGGACTGGAATTTCATCCTCTGTTCTTTAAAATGGATTTGAGGAAACCTGGCAGCCGGTCCTACAACTGACCAGAATAATTTTCAGTCTCCTTGCCATCAGGTTTATTTACGAGTTGCAGGACTGGAATATATGGTCCCAAAGACATAACACTGTCCAACGTTAAACAGTTTTAAACAAAGTTTGGGGGTTGGTATACACAGATTTCAACCTGCTTTGTACCATGGCAAACACACCATTAAGAATCCTTTTCACCTTTTAATAAAGAAAGATACAGAAAAAGAAGGAAAAACAGTTCAAGTCTTTGAAATGAAAGCCTTACTTAATACTTGACATATGAACAACATCCCTTGTTCCCTTTAACTCAAGAGAGTCATTAGAAGGGGGGAAAAAAACTTGTTTGACCATCTTTTAGGTGGTATCAAAAATAGTAATACCTGTCCTACTGGGGGAAAACAGAAGAAGTTAGCTGAGATGGGCAGGAGCTATTGTTAAAGTCTGTTAAAAGACCAAACAAGACAAACACATGAGAGAGGAGTGAAAAGAACAGCAAAGATAGAAAATGCAGCTTCTGACGCTGGAGTAGACCTTCACTTGCCACCTTACTGCTGGAAAAACAGGCCCAGAACACAATCTTATTAACCATTCTGAAGACCTTGCAAACTTATACCAGCATCGGGCTGTGTAGGGCACTGCTTTTAGTTGCGCTTTTGGTCACAGGCTCACTGCAGTGTTGCAAAATATCCAGTCTTGGCCAGCTAACCCAGACTTTTATCAGACAGAAGGCAAAGGAGGAGGACAGAAATGAGAAGAAATAAAATGGGGAGGGGGGGGGGAAGGACACATGGGGGTGAGGGTAGATGGCAAAGTCTCACTCCCACATGGTGGTTGGGATTTAGTCAGAGACGGTGGAGGTGGTGATGTCGTCTAGGTTCCTCCCTTTGGCCCGATCTGATCTGGACATCTTTTAGGATATCTAGTAGTGTTATGGTGGATTCTGGAGTTCCAGGAGATAGTGGAGATGGCAGCCAAATTGGTAGAGCTCACTCCTTTCAGTCAGCAATCGTTGCCCTCTTCCATTCATGTCCTCCAATTTTCCTCGAAAAATCTTTTAAGGACCCCAAAAAGGAGTGATGGGTGGACTAGCCCATACCCTCATTATTTTGTCCACCACACTAAGGGTACGTCTTCACTACCCGCCGTATCGGCAGGTAGCAA